TTTCAACCATGCAAGTGGTGCAGGATTTTTGCAACCATCCACAGCAAAAAACCAGGTGTGAAACCAACTTGTGGTATAAACGACCATAACTATTATATAATATCATATATATATATATATATCATTTCAATCCGCTGGTATCATATAACATCATACAAGCAAACATATTATCACCAACGATGTTTCGATTCATTCCAAACACATTGTGGCTACAAATTCTTGGAAAATGATGCAGTTCCCAGTTCCAGGTGTACCCCGGTTGCAGACAAGTTGTTCTCGGGCTGTTGATTCGGTCTGAAAATGGATGAGAATGGTATGGGTGGTATGGGTATACTACCCTGAACTAGCCATGAATAACAGAAGATAGCCAACAAACATCTGCGAAAGCAACCAAAAAAGATGGAACGTCAATTTTCATAAGTGCCTTGGTTCTATTGCTGCAAGGGATTTGGATCATGGAATTACCAACCAACCAACAAGGCTTCCTGGAAGACTGCTCGAGAGGGAGTTCCTCTGCTTGTGTCTGACAGAAGTACTGTACTTTGAGTATCCAAAAGAATAAAAACAACTGTGCGTATATAGGATACAACCACATTATAAAAGATAAAATACAATGAAATGGTATTGAGATGTATTGAGTGGTATAAAAATGACTAACAATAATGAGGCTACTAATGTTAACCTAATAATTGGGTGCGTCTACAGATGCAAGAAGCGGCCCAAGCAGTCTGAAACGGATGCGGAGTTCCCAATTGAGCCATGTGTCACCGATACGGCCCGCAAGAATCACTGTGCACACAAGGTGCTCAACAAGCGGTTCCTGTTCGTTGACAGCGATTTTTGCCAGCTTGCGTGCTGCCTAGAGCTGTGTTCCACAAGAAACAGCATAGCGATGCTGGCAAGCAAGGAATCTGCAAGGATTGGATACAATCCTAAACCATTAATAATATCAAATTGGATCAAATTGGTATGAATCTTCGATGTGTCACCGATACGGCCCGCAAGAATCACTGTGCACACAAGGTGCTCAACAAGCGGTTCCTGTTCGTTGACAGCGATTTTTGCCAGCTTGCGTGCTGCCTAGAGCCGTGTTCCGCAAGAAACAGCATAGCGATGCTGGCAAGCAAGGAATCTGCAAGGATTGGATACAATCCTAAACCATTAATAATATCAAATTGGATCAAATTGGTATGAATCTTCGATGTGTCACCGATACGGCCCGCAAGAATCACTGTGCACACAAGGTGCTCAACAAGCGGTTTCTGTTCGTTGACAGCGATTTTTGCCAGCTTGCGTGCTGCCTAGAGCCGTGTTCCGCAAGAAACAGCATAGCGATGCTGGCAAGCAAGGAATCTGCAAGGATTGGATACAATCCTAAACCATTAATAATATCAAATTGGATCAAATTGGTATGAATCTTCGATGTGTCACCGATACGGCCCGCAAGAATCACTGTGCACACAAGGTGCTCAACAAGCGGTTCCTGTTCGTTGACAGCGATTTTTGCCAGCTTGCGTGCTGCCTAGAGCCGTGTTCCGCAAGAAACAGCATAGCGATGCTGGCAAGCAAGGAATCTGCAAGGATTGGATACAATCCTAAACCATTAATAATATCAAATTGGATCAAATTGGTATGAATCTTCGATGTGTCACCGATACGGCCCGCAAGAATCACTGTGCACACAAGGTGCTCAACAAGCGGTTCCTGTTCGTTGACAGCGATTTTTGCCAGCTTGCGTGCTGCCTAGAGCCGTGTTCCGCAAGAAACAGCATAGCGATGCTGGCAAGCAAGGAATCTGCAAGGATTGGATACAATCCTAAACCATTAATAATATCAAATTGGATCAAATTGGTATGAATCTTCGATGTGTCACCGATACGGCCCGCAAGAATCACTGTGCACACAAGGTGCTCAACAAGCGGTTCCTGTTCGTTGACAGCGATTTTTGCCAGCTTGCGTGCTGCCTAGAGCTGTGTTCCGCAAGAAACAGCATAGCGATGCTGGCAAGCAAGGAATCTGCAGGATTGGATACAAATCAAATTGATATGAACCTTTGATCTGTCACCGATACGGCGCGCAAGAGCCACTGTGCACACAAGGTCCTCATGACCAGCCATAGTGGGTTTTCTCATGCATGTGTGACCCGCCCGAAAAAGGATGGTCGAATTCGAATTTAGACTTACAGTCACAGTCATCAATTTGGATGAGTTTGCGACTCATTTTAAAAAATATGATCTTAAGACACCAACGGATTCCCATATCTTACACCCGAAGACTCCAGGGGAAGTCGTTCAGCGCGCAGAGCCAATAGGTTGGCCCCAACGTCCTGGCAGATCTCATCGTGTCTCCCGGTCCGTGAAGTTCACCGTTCATTCACCAGAAAACATGGGTGGTTTAAGATGATTTCAGCATAAGCAAAATCAAGGTTCAACTGGGGATGGGTCAAAACCCTGGTACCTAGTGAACCCCAATTCATAGCTGGAAAATGGATGTTCATTCCCCTAGAAATGGTATTAATAGGTATTGACCCATACCCAACTCACCAAAACCAGGAATAACCAGGATGTAAGATGATGCGAGAAGAACATCATCTATCTCACTTAAAAAATATGAAAAGATGCAGGTTTCACCATGTTTCACCAGCAAAAAATGTTGTTTTCACAACCTTGGGGATTTCGTTTCGCAGCTGTGATTTCACCATCGGGGAATCCTCCTCCCGGTCGGCGCGAAGGTGCATCAAACCCGCCAGGGGTTTGTGGTCCTCCACCTGGGGACGCCACGAAGTCGGCACCAGAAACATCGGAAATACTCCCCGGTGATTTTTTTTCAATAGTTGGTAAATGACCCATTTAGTTCCATGATTCTATCAAAATATTGACAAGTGATGAAGATCGGTGATTTTCCATAGCTACGCAACAAATTAGATAACTGGAAATACCCAATCATACTACTGGCGTGTTAACCACGAACCAGATATGTGTTGTATGAAATAAGCCAGCTCCCAATCATATGATATGGATCATCATGGTGACAATCTGACATTAGCATACATTAGCCATATATCATACCGGTAGTACCGCACAAGGCGGTGGCGGAAGTTTCACAGAGAGTAAACCTATGAGAGGTTGGTTCATGTGAATCATGGATGGCAGAGCGACCCCGCTGATGGATCGAAAGATGGTTGGAGTGTCGGGCTATCTATCTGTCTATCTGTCTGTCTATCTATCTATCTATCTGTCTGTCTGTCTTTCTGTCTGTCTATCTGTCGATCTGTCTATCCATCTTTCTATCTATCTATCTGTCTGTTTGTCTATCTGTCTGTCTGTCTGTCTGTCTCTCTCCCTCTATCTTTCTATCTGTCTATCTATCTGTCTATCTATCTGCAAGCTTGAAAACGAAGCTATTCTTCGAGACTTGTTTGAAATTTGGAAGTTGAAAGCTGAAGAACGATGCTTTTCTGCGAGACTTCTTTCAATTTGGAAGTTGGCAAATGCAATTCTGCGAGTCATCCTTCAAAAATGGAAAGTTGAGTGCTGAGCTGACAGCCTCGTACCAATGCATTTTGCGATTTTTCAATCCCATCTCTCTAAAGTACTGCGCCTGCCACGAAAAAGTGACGCCAGGTCATACGAAGTGCTGCACGTGTCACGCAAAATCACCTTAGGAAACCTGAAGACTCTGATGCTCCAAAATGCAACCCCTCTCAGGAAATCAGCGCCCCCTGACCTCCTGACATCTCTGAAGAACATGTCTGTTGTACTGCCCCTGCCACGCGAAATGGATCTTTGCAGATCCTCTTCAAACATTCCACGCATGCCATCGTTTTTGAAACTGCAACAAAACCCTGACGTTTTGCTTAGTTTTGGCAAGGTGCAGAATCCATTGAGCCTGCCACGAAAAGTGATGCTTGAACGCCCAAAAGTGGTCCGAAATGTGATGTTTTTACCATGTTGACTTCAAAATCTGCACTTTTTCAACATCTCACCTGTCAAAAACGCTATATACACGTTTTGACTTGGAAATGTTGTTTACACGACAACGGCGTGTAATTTTTGATATCTCATCTACCCAGATGGCTCTGCACCTCAGAAGTTTGACTTCTAAACTTCCTTCGAATATATCATGTGGATTGATATGCAGTGTGTATTATTAATATATATGCATATGGCTTATAAATGCTTCTTAACCGCCCTGTCAACTTAGGTCTTGAAGCATGGTGCCCTGCTATTGAGATCCAGGACGGGCGAGATGAACTGACTGATAAAATGGGTAGATAAACCCACCAAGATGGCAAAGGAGCGCGACAGCATGCTAAAATACAAACATGCATCGAAAGGATAGATGCTAGACGTACCAAAACAATCCAAAATGATCCACAATGCAAAAAATGCAGGAGAGTAAAAACTCTATGAAACTGTGATCTTAAATGCAACTCCTTCCATTTCAAGATGTCCCAGAATTTCCAGGATCCCACCATGCCGTTGCCTGCTTTCTCCTGCCTTCCACCAATTGCTGGAAGCCCTCTTTGAGCGCTTGCGGCGTATCGGGATGCTCCAGCGCATTGGTTAAGGCCTGTGGTCATGGCGCATGGCACACCCTCCAGTGGTCATGGACATATCATATAGCATCATATAGCCTGGTTGGTGGGTTGAGCCCTGAAAAATGTGAAAGTTGGAAAGTTCAGTGGAATTATCATCCCAGGTAGGCTTGAAAATTATATAAATATTATATATATATATATATTGCAAGCGTCGAGAGACGCGGCACGGTGAACCCTCAAGTGGACAGGGATCTATGGTGAACTCCAAAGCCGCTGGTGATAGGGCACAGCGCTATGCGCACGGCTAACTCGTTCTTTTGACTCCCAAACACTGCAGTGAGTCGCTACAGTGATGAAATGCATCAATGGAAATTGCATGCCCCCGACATTGGTTCGAAGGTATCAAAGTTTGAAAGAAAAACAACGAAAAACAACAACACAAAAGAAGAAAAACGCACCATCAGTTCCGCTCAGAGTGAGACTGGTTCGTTTCAGGTTCAGGGGTTCTGTTGGAAGTTCGATTTGTGAAAGTGCCGATGCCCTGCTGCTTGCGCTTCCGGGCTGAGCTCATCTGTTCATCCTCCACAATGCACCATGAGTGCTTCATGTCATAGAACAAGTTCAGCTGCCGCATTTCCTTAGATTTCGTCAAAGAGTTCGCAAGCTGAGCTTCTGAATGTACCCACCGAATGATCACGTGGTTGGATACCTGTGCTTCCTTAAGACTCAAGAGTTCCAAGTCCGTTCGTTTCTCAGCTCCACGCATGCACAAAACTTCAGTTGAAAGTTTATCATATACGTTTCGTGAATCCGTAATTACACAACCTGCTACCTGGTTGACCACCTCGTTGATGTTTCTAACGTTCACTTTGGAACCCAACATTTCTTGAAATTGGAAACGCACAAAATACAACAAATCTTCGGCATTAACTGCCGCTATGGCCTCAGAACTTCCAGGACTCCTGCAAATCCTAGTGATCTTTGATGAGTGCCAAGCCAGCAAAGACACAGATTCAACGCTCCCTTGCAGCAAATTGAGGGAGCTGGCGCCGATGACAATTCCAGCAGTGCTACTACCATCACATCGATTCTGTTTCGCTGCATCGCACCATGCAAAAAGGCCCAAATTATCAAGAGGCAGACTATGCACCTTCAACCTGTGGGACCTCATGTTCTTGACCTGGTGCAACAGTTGATTGGCCTTATTTAAAGTCTCAACCGTACTGCGATTGATTTCAGAAAGCAATAATCCAACTTCAGCCGAAAAATGTGGGGCCACCTGCTGAGCATGCCATGAGATTCCACCCAGTAAGGATCGGAGTTGAGACTTTTCATAGTCATCAGTTTCAGCATGTTTCTCCTTCCTACGGTGGGCTCTAATATTGATATATTTAAGCTCATCCACATATTTCTCCTGCGATAGAGACACGCTAAAGTCAGCATCCTGCTCTATGTACACTCCACATTGGGTAAACGCTTTGGTTTCCCAGTCGCTCCATTTGAACTCGGTTCTGATGGCTTGCAGTATGTCTTGCCATTCTTGGTCTGTATCTGAGCCAGAGAAAACGAAATCATCGACATGTGCTGAGATGATTCCTCGGACCGTTCCATGTGGGGCAAAAACCCAGCAACAAGGGTCCGACCAAGTTCGTGTTAAACCCAATTTTTGAAAAGCAGTGCTGACCGATCTGTACCATTCCAGTGGTGCATCTACGAGACCGTAGCATGCCCTTTTTACTCTTGTCAAAGCAGTAGTGGGTAAACCCATAGCTGTAAGGATTTCAGGACATGGCAGGCAAAATAATTCGTCTGGATAAGGTCGGCCCTGTAAAAAGGCTCCTGTCACATCACCCTTCCAAAGTCGAAAACCTTTGGAAGCTGAAATCTGTAGTTGCAGTTGTCTGGTCAAACGTGTGGTGGTTGGTGCCATGGTAGCTCGTTCAGAATACTTCGGGTCTTGGAAGCCCAAGAGAACAGCTCGGGCTTTTGCTTTTCGGGTACCATCTTCACGATGTTTCCATGTCAACACCCATCGCATCTTTACCACCTGACTCATGTCCGGCTTCAAATCCGGAGGTAAGGCCTCAAAAGCCTTTGCTGCCAGAAAGTTTGTGACTTCTACTGCTTTTGCACTCTGAAACTCGGCCAACTCTTCCTTGGTGAGATGCTTCTCGCTCACCTCCACCGCTCGTTTCTTCAAAGCTCCTGCCAGAAAAGCTGACATATCGTTGAGTGCCTTCTCAGATTGATTTCTCGTGGATGGCATGTCCACTCCCACTTCCACTGCTGCAAATGAAGATTCCCAAAAACTAGCACCTTGACTATCTTTGGCTGTGGTAACTGACTCCCACCAGGGCGGTGCAACCAGGAACCCATCTTCCGGCTCTTGTCTTGGCCGTTGACTGGGACGAGCATTGGAAGAGCCTGCTTCCCGAAAATCACTGGGAAAGCTCCGGTGTGACCCTTCCAGTATGCCCATGTCTGCGTCAGTGGACATTGGTGCTGCACGCTTTCCTCTGCAGCGAATCTGTGGTTGCCATTCCAAACTTGGGTCAGCTGCTCGATGCCATTCTTCATCAGGTGGAATTTCCGCTGAAACATCATCATAGTCGTTTCCACCCAGTTCTCGAGCCACCTTGGTAAAATCCCAAGGCGTTGGTGATTCGGAATGCAGTTCTTCCAACAATTGTTCACGTTGAGATGCATGGCGCAACTGTTCAGGACAGCATTTCATAAGCCTACGTCCTCGCACTACCCACACGGCTGAGCCGGCAATGAGATCACCATTCTGGTCTCTGCGTTTTTCTACAGCCAGAATTCGGGCTGGTCCAATAAACCTGCCTGCTGTGTTTCTACCACTTGTTTTGAGAGGCAGTTGATGTCGCCAGATAAACACCAAATCACCTGGGAGGAAATTCAGTCGCCTCCTCGACTTGGAGAGCATTGCCTTCTGAAGTCGTTGGTTGTTTGTCCAGTCCAAAAAGGCCTCCTCGGCTATTTTCATTCTTGCTAAATTTCGTTGTAGTTCCCCTGTAGGGTTCTCCACCAGAAAATCCGGGCTCGCCCCTACTGTACTGCCGAAAAACCGGCCTAATTCATCCGGTGCACGACCCAAAGCATGCTGTATTGGGGAGTATCCCCGAACCAGTTCTCGATTGTTAAAGGTTCGAGTCGCCTCGGCAAGGGCTTCTTGAGGAGACAGATCGGGATCATCCATAACCAGCTTGGTCATGACGGACTTCGCGCCCTTGATCGCTTGTTCACAAATACCAATCTTCCAATGGGCCTCGCTGGCCACCAAATCCAGAAAGATATGGTTTCTGTCGCAAAACTCACTCAGCTCATGGCTACGAAAGGAGCCATCTGGGTCAACCCGCAAGGTATGTGGGTGACCAAAATACTGAGTCCAGTGACTTCGGAAACATTCAATGAATTGTGTGGCACTCACATGTTTGCGTTGCCCTGAAACTATCACCCTTCCTATCCTAAATCTTGAGCCTTCATCAATACAGAGGACAAAGTGGTGATTTTCATTTGTGTGAGGGTGTGTCCAAACGCCCATGTCACAAGAAACCGTATTCCATTTTGGGGGTTGAGGTTCCAACGCCGACACATTACGAGGTTGAGCACTACTTCTCTCAGCACACACAGAGCATTTGAAGCGTTCGGCTTCCTGGATAACCTCTCTGGGTGCTCCTCTTCGTTTCAGAGCTTGGATCAAATGGCGTACATGTCCATGACCCGTAGCAGTGTGGAGAAGATACAACCTTTTTCTGATGGATTCCAATCTATTGGAGTCAGAACCAACAAACGCCTCTTCATTTTCAGGGGAAATAGGTTTCTCCAATTGAAACATCACATCGGTTTCCTTCAAACAATGCAAACACTTCAAATCCGCACCATGCTGTTGTCCCTCTTCACAACCACAAACCGTTCCTTCCCCAAAACCCTCGAAACCCAAAACATGACCATGAAGTTCTTTATGGATTTCATCCCGGGTATTTCCTTGAATCAGAGCATCACAAACCCGTTTCGCAAACTCATGGGTGTAAAAGGCCGTCCTACGGGTCAACTTCCCTTCGCACTTGACATGGGGAGTACCCTTTTGGCAGGAACAGGGGAGGTCCATCCTACGGGACAAAAGTTGGTGAGTAGTCATCAGTTTCCAACCCTTTTGAATAAAACAACCATCATCATCCCTCAGATTCACTTGACAACCACGAACAATGGAAAAGAAAGGTTGGTATTTGGTGATCAACCGCTGAATGATGGGTAACCGCCAGGCTTGACACGACTGAGACCATTCCCATGTTGCATGAATACCCCGCTGGATACAATGATGAAAAATCAAACAGCAACCAACGTATTGTTTGAGGGCCTCCCGTCTTTTGGATTCCAAATCAGCCACTTGTTGGGGATTCTTTTGGTTCACATTCTGCATGATAGAATAAGGACCACATTCAGGGGAAATCCACACATGTTGGGGTCTTTGTTCATCAATCAATTTAAGAACCCTGCGAACCCCAGCATTCGTTCCTACATCACATTGATTCCAATGTGCACAACGCAAAGCAGCTCCCTCTGAACCCACCGTTTGTTGCATGACGTGGCTAAGAATGCTATCTGGTGCACATGCCACTTCAATCAAAACAGGTCCTTTGGTCGCCACTAGTGACTGGAGCGCATCAGGCAACATGGAATCACAACTACGCTTCACAAAACTGGCTTGAGTGTCAGACATGTGTTTGCACTGCCTGGAAAGCTCTGGGGATGCTACGTATCCCTCACAGTCAGGGAAACTAAGTTCTGAGCCATCGGGAACACTAGGGTCAGAACCATTAGGCGCCGGACAGCTAAGATCCTCACTCAGCTCATGACCTTCTGTTCCATGTCCTCCTCGCCCTTGTCCTTCTTGCGCGGACGTTCCTCCTTCAAGGAGTCCATGTCGGCCTTGAGCTCCACCACAGCTTCGGCCAGCTTCGCCAGCATGATGTTGGTCTGCTGGATCTGGGAGCTGGTGACCGATCCCTCGTCGGCGGTCAGCTCTGGCTTCTGCGGAATCTTCAGGCCCAGGTTGCTCTGAGTGGGAGGCTGATACCCCTGGTTGGAGGAGGCCGCACTCTGCTCGTTCTCGGCCCACATTGCCAAGCGAGCCAGGCGATAGTCGCATTCGCCCTCCTTCCAAGTCCTCAAGACCCATGTGATGTAGTCCGGAAACTGCTGGAGGATCTCCCGATAACTCAGGGAGGAGTGGAGACCGAATCCAACAGGATCCTCCTCGCTGGGATCTGTCTCCATGTAGATCTTCTGAACAGCCATTCGCTGCAGCGCGGCCATGTTCTCGTTCATGGTCAGGTTGAGATGGAGATTGTCTCGCACAAAGGCCTGAAGGGTCGCCTTCTTTTTGGAGGCTTCGTTGAGACGAATCATCCATACCCGCAAGGGTGTGGCCGCCTTGCCACGCACTTTCTTTGGGACACCCTTCTCTTCCTTCAGTTCCTCCAAGCGAGTGGAGAGCTCGAGCATGGTCCAACTGCTCGGAGGTGACTCGCCCATCTGAGTCAACTCGGCAACCAGCTGGGCCTTGTTGGGCTTCGGCATCTTGGAGGGACTTCGATTTCTCTGAAGGGCACAAAGTGCTTTGAGCTGCAGCTGCTGTGTTGTGTGAGAGGTTATGGGAAGTGTTAGTGTTGTGAGAAGTGAAAGAGGAAAGTTCAGGTTGTTGAGAGTGGTCTCTGAGCTTCACATCCGGATCAACCGCAACACAAACATCACCAGCATTTTCAACAATACCACAAACCTGATCACCGTTTTGAATTCCTTCTTTCAAAACGTTTTCAATCTTGATACCTTCTGACACGACTGGTTCCGTACCTGATTCTTGAGCTATGACCTTCCTTTCTGTCTCAGGCAAAACGTCAGGAAGGAGCTGTCCCTAAAGGAAGTTCTTCAAACTTGGAACTGGTGCCTGAGTTGTGGTGGCACCATCGTACCAGTCCTGTGTCAAGGGGAGCAATTGATGCCCTGCGCTAGACTGCTCTAAGGGAATGATCTTTTGATCATTCAACCGGCGAAAACAAATCAAGTCATTCTCATAGTCCACAACAGCGCCTAAAGCACGTAGGGACTTGATTGAAAACAAAACCGGCCCCTCACCGCGGTCTAAGGCATGCACCCTCAGTTGTCCTTCACGACCATCAGCCATCACGGTCAAATTGGCAGTGCTAAGGCATTTGTCGTGTGAGGAGTTTCCAAAACCAAAAACGGGCTGATCAGCTAGGTCCACAGACTCGACTCCATGCTTGCCCTTGGCATTCTGGTTCAGCATCATAACTTGCTCGAGAGCGCGAACACTTCCCAAAGTGCTGGTCGCGCCACCATCGATCACAGCCATGCCACGCTCCATTGCCTGCAAGGTGGTGAGCTTTTCCTGTGCTGCCACCAAAGCTTCCGACTCAGCAAAGCAGGAAAAAGGCGTGGAGACAAAAGGAGCACTTTCTTGACCTTCAGCTGAAGAAGCCTGTCCAGACGCACGTTTCGGGCATCTGGAAGTTTGATGGGGTCCACCACAAGCCAGACAAACTTCTGAGCCTCTGGGCTGCGTTGACTCTCTTCTCCCATGACCCTGGCTGGATCGGTGCTGAAAGTTCGAGCCACGGAAAGAGGTTCTGAAGTACTGGCGAGACATCTTGACCTGGTGCTGCTTCTGACGAGCCTCTCGCAAGGTAGCCATAGCTTGTTGAGCTTCTTGTTCTGCATTTTCGAGAATGGCGAACCCTTCATCGGTCAGGTCCTGGTTGGCCAAGAAGCTATTGTCATCTTTCATGTCAGGCTCTATGAGGTCATCATCATCAGCGTAGGTCATCCATCCAGTGGATCTGCCTCCTTGGTCACGGCGACGTAGGTCGTCATCAACCCATTGATTCCTGAGTTCCTGAGCCACTCGGTTCAGGGAGTAGTCACCCCCCAAAGCGGCGATCACCATGTTCTTCTCCGCAGTGTCCAGACCTGAATCTTGAAGCAAGAACCAGCCCTGAACGAACTCTGGGAGGAGTTCCGGTGCTTCAGTCACCCAGGAAGCAGTGGTAGAAGCTGATCTAGCAGGTCTCGGCCATGAAGTGCGCCAGGAATCATGGCTAGACCAACCATCTTGTCCCCGATCATACCAGGAGTGCCAACCTGACTGCCATCCATTCCAGTCATCCCATCGCTGCTCATCCTCTTCGTCATCTGGTTCCTCAGCATGAGAGGAGGCGGCATCACCTGCCGTGGCTGGCGGCAGCTCGTGTTCTTGCGCGTCATGGAAGTCATCGCTTCCACCTCCAGACTGGCTCGGAGTAGCCCTCGAGATCGACTGTCTCTGGGAGCTTTGTGAGCCAGCAAAGCGCTTTTGCACACGGCCCAGAGATTGAACTGCTCTGGCATAGATTTCCATCTTTCGGGTGATATATCCATTCCTGGTCTCATTCTTCCTACGTCTACTGTTTCTGAAGTACTGGTTCAAGTAAGAAGACATCTCAGGTAGTTGGGGAAGTCCAAGGTTCTTCCTCAGGTGCTCCATGAGGACTTCAACACCACCTGTGAAGGAGATCCAGTCAGGTCGTTTTCCTATGATGAATCGTCGGGCCGTGCCCGTCAATTCATTTGCCAACCTAGGTCCACACAGGTACCGTTTCTGAACAGGTACTGACTGTTCCCAGGCCAGACTGAGCTCTTCATATTCCTGGAAGGATGTGGCATCCCCATCCCAACAAGGTACCCCGTCCTTGTTCCGGCTCACTTTGTGCTGCGCCACATCGGACGCCATCGACTCTTCCCACGGCCCCAGCGGTGGAAAGCTTACCCTGGATCACAAAGACACGCCCAGTGACTGGGCTCCGCTACCGTGCAAGCGTCGAGAGACGCGGCACAGTGAACCCTCAAGTGGACAGGGATCTATGGTGAACTCCAAAGCCGCTGGTGATAGGGCACAGCGCTATGCGCACGGCTAACTCGTTCTTTTGACTCCCAAACACTGCAGTGAGTCGCTACAGTGATGAAATGCATCAATGGAAATTGCATATATAACATGATAATACATGATATAACTATATGTTATGATATATTGCAAAGCACCCAAGCAACGGCTCATTTAAGGCTTGTTTTGGGAAAGTTTTCAGGAAAGTGACACATATGGACGATGATCTGGCGATGATTTTCGAGGGGATGGGTGTGTGGTGTGTGGGATTGACCCTCGATCTTTGGCAATTTCAATTTGGGGAAAACATGGGAAAAATGGCCATTTATAGTGACTTTTCCCATTAAAAATGGTGATTTTCCATAGTTATGTTAGTTTACCAGAGGGTACCCATCATGGGATGGATTCGGGTTCTAAATTCTGAGCAACAAAAGAGCAATTTGGATGACCTGGATGGATGGCTATCAGCAATTTTGACATGAAAACCAGAAAAATCACTCAGAAAAAACATGAAAAAACAGGGCACCCTCGAGCCTTTCCCAAAATCACCCCGAAAATGAATCATCCTTCTGCCAGAAACTCAACCATGAAAGTTCAGACGGGAACGATGAGGATCATCTTGGAAATTTTACATGAAACCGCCTTCCTTCTTCCAAGAAGAATGGGACTTTTGCCATGAACAAACCCGGCTCCTGTGGAAAAAAGGAGACCCAGTTCCTCGCCATGCAATCCAAAGAAGTTATGAGTTATGGACCACTTACTGAGATGTGCTGCGCACAATTACTCCAAAATACCTGGCTGATAAGCATGGCATAGTTTTTATCTGATTTCATGATTTCAACATAGGATGTACCTCCCTTACAATGTATTTAAACAATGTAGATACAGATAATGCATACATTGTATGCATATCATTTAAACATATTTAAACATGATTTGAGGTTGACTGCTAATCCACCTATAGGTTATTAGGTTGCTGTTGAAAACCTCCCATGCCATGGTAGGAAGGGCTCCCAGCTATGTTTTCTGATCAGTTTCGAAAAAATGCCTATCTTTTGGGTGGATTTCCCATGGATTTCCCATGCGTTTCCCCAGCCATGGTGGATTACTGGAGGGTCGCCACTCGAACGATGACGTCGGGGCGTCCATCAACTGTTGGTCACCCGGACCCACTCCCGGAGGATGACCTGAAAGCTGACTGGCATCAGACGGCAGTCTGTCACCGCCTTTGCCTCGACGCGTTTTGCGAGAGCTTTTTCATTGGATCCAAGCAGGACTTCTTCACCTTAAAATTGCCATCTAATTCTAGGTAAATTACAATCACAGCGAGGTCACCATAATTTACCAAGATCTAATCCTAGGAAAATATGTGATAATGATGGCCGGTGGTCTAAAGGATCGGAAACCGTCCCCGCCAACTCATTCCATACAGGGGATACTAGGGAGCCACAATAAACATCATCCCAGATTTGGGTATGGTTTAGTGTTGCATAAAAACTTGAGTTTTATTAGGTACTGTACTTTAAAAATTCTATTCGATATGCAAACATCCAACTTCAGAAACACGGATTGGGGATGTTTTTTCGTTGCATCCACAGAAACATCGCAGGTCATCGCAGCAAACATGGCTCCCGACTGTGGCTGTACGGTAAGAAAGGAGGCCCAAAGCCTGTCTCGGTCAGGAACGATCCAAGCCGGGGTGCGAGGCGAAATGGTTGTGGCCCAAGTCATTGTTCCAGCTTGCTTAGTCATTGATACAGAAACTGATGAATACCCCATCATTGTGTAATCTTTTCCATGAGCTCATGAATATCACTTACCATCCATTAGTCATGGTTATGTATCTCCACAAAAATCTCATCTTACTGGTGCTAAACGTAGGGAATTTCCGGGAATGATCCCAGTCCCATCCATTCCCAGCCTCAGGCTCCCCCAAGACTGCGCCAGGGCTAATGCATCCTACCTGCCCGGGTTTACCATGGAGTTTACCCATGGAATCATCGAGGTTTAACATGATTTAACCATGAAACATAGGGATTTCACCAAGCAAAATGCTAGTTATTAGCCACCCAAAAACTGGGGTGGGATATTGATCATTGCTGGACAATTATGCAAATGGAATTCACACATGGAATCAACATCGAATTCGTAAGAAATCAAGCGAATGTAATATCTTGTTTTGGCAGGATGATTACCCCTACTAACCATATCGAACCATATCAATCCATATCTAACCATATCGATCCGCATCACCGACAGTGTGGTCGTGGTGAATGGCGGGCTGGCTTTTCCCACAACCTAGCCATGTAAACATGAATCAACGCGATGGTGAGAATTCCCACCTGGATTTCATGCCGTTGGAGGCTTGGTGTTTTTACATGTTCAAATGGGCAAGTAGATGAATCAACAATGATTAATCATCCCTCCTCCCGATTTCTATCAAATCTATTCAAATCTATGGACGACCCAAATTCATGAATGGCCTCTGGTAACTGAATTTACTGTTGCTCAAAATCACCAGGGTTTTAGACGGTATCCCAGGCTTGACCAGGAAAAATCCCACAAAATACTCAGCGATGAATAGCCACAAATACGGTAGCCTCCTGTTTCATCATGGAAAACGCTGGGAAAATCCCATGGAAAA